CTAGTTTTTTGTTTATTTTGATTTATTAATTTATTCAAAAAAATTTTTTAGTCTCAGAGCCCCATTTTCCTAGCAAATCTCCCATATAACTAAAGTTTGCTTTTTGTAACTAAAATAACTAAATTGCTCTTTAAAGTCACTATACAAATAAAAAATTAAAAAATATTTTTGTGAGATAATACAAATATAAAAATGTTTATAATTCTATAATTATTAATTCAATTATAATAAATTTATATTCACATATTTTTAAATTTGTAAAACAACTTTACTTAGTTACTAAAAGTCAATTTCCTTTGACTAAAGTACTCTTCAAAGTAATTGAATATATAAAAAAAATTAAAAAAATTTTGTTAGTTAATATAATTACTAAAAATATTTATAATTAATTTAACTTTTTATTTATAATAAATTACAAAGTAATTTATACAAATAACTTTATTAAAATATGAAAAATAATGTAAATAAATAAAAATTAATGTTTTAAAAAAAAAATTAAAAATTTTTTTTAAATTTATTTTTATTTTATTTGATTTGATTAGTTGACCTGAATTTTATTATAACGATAAGTTTAATTTGATTTGATGTTAATCTAAAATTTTGTTTATTGACCTGAATTTTTCAAATTAGATTATATCAGATTACAAGTTAACCTAACTTGATTTAAAGCTTTATTCTAGGTAAAATAAATATTATAGAAATAAATAGTATTTATAAAAGTTTGTGTAATTGTTATATAAAAAGATGCAAAAAATCAGATTTTGAGAATTTTTTAATAAAATTTTGATTTTTATTATAGTTTAATTTTTGATGATATTAAATTAAAATATATTAAAAGTTAAATTTTATTCAAAAAATTCTTAAAACCTGATTTTCCTAATATAATTTACAGTTTTAAAAAAATAGTATTTACTAATTTGATTCATTATGATAAATATATAATATATTAAATATACTTCTTTAACAATTATCTATTGTTTCATCTATAATTACAAATAGTTTTCCTCAAAATTGAATCAAATCATATATTGAAGTAATTTGAATTTAATTTGATTTTTCAAATTAAATTTAATTGAATTAAATTAAATATTTAAATTGAATTAGATCAAATACTGTATATATTTTTTTTAATTTTATATAATAAAAATTAAAATAAAGTAATTTTTAAAGTTTTAATTAAGAAATCATTAGTAAAATACATGAAAAAATTACTTTTATAAAGTAAGTTTAATAACAAAATAACCTGTAACTTTAGAAGTGATTTTTTATTAAAAAAAACTTAATAAAGTAATTCTGCAACTTTATATTTACTAAAAAAATTTAGTAAAAAAATCCTGGAACTTTAATTTTTTAAGAAAGTTTAGTAAAACAATTATATTATTTTAGTTTACTAAAAAAGTAATACCTCTAAAGTTACAGAGGCATTTTTATTAGTAAAAAATATCTTTGAAACTATATAAATATTTTTAACTATAGTTTTTTTTTAGTAAAAGCCATCTTTACTTTTTATTAAAAGTAATATAATAATCAAGTAATTACAGTTGGCTTATCACGTCCTGTAAATTCTTGCAATTTTGAAATTTGCAATGCAACATCAATTAATGGTTTCAAAGCTTCTTGAGTGTCAGATTCATATTCTGAAGCATTCTGAGAATATTTTTCGACATATAATCTAATTGTTGCACCTTGACTTCCTGTTCCACTCAATCGAATGACAATTCGTGAACCATCAGTAAATATAATACGGACACCCTTTAAATGACATAAAAATTAGTAATTAAAGATAAAATAAAGGTTTATAAATAATACAAATTACCTGATTTTTAGATACGCTTCCATCAATTGGATCACAATATTCAAAATCATCAGCATTTTTAACTGTAAATGGACCGAAGGTTTTCCCAATAAAGTCATATTTACCCGCACCAATCAAATGACGAAGATGTTCAACCATTTTATTAGCGCATTCACTTTCAACTTCCTCATAGTCATATCTGAAAATTCAATAAGCATGTCAATTTTTATGTAATCTTGCTAAAAAAAAATGTATATATTTACCTAGAAAAAAAGTTACGTCCATAAGTTTGATAATGTTCAAGAAGAATTTCTTTAATACCAACGCCTGGCCTCTTTTCATTTACCGCAGCTATAATGTTAAGCCACGCTATTACACGTAAAAATATCATTTAATTAGTTGGATATATTTAATAAAATAATAATTCAATATATATACTAACCCACAATAGCCCATACACCATCTTTTTCACGAATGTGGTCAGAACCGGTACCAAAACTTTCTTCTCCGCAGATTGATAAGCGACCCGCGTCCATAAGATTACCGAAAAATTTCCAACCTGTGATATCATACAAGAAATTATTATTACATATAATAAAAAAGAATATGTATTATATGTGGAATAGAATAATAATATAATTTACCAGTGGGTACTTCAAAAATTTCCAACCCTTTTTTTTTCGCAACCAAGTCAATAGCTGCACTTGTTGGCATGCTGCGTGCCAACCCTTTAATGCCGTTTTTTTGAAAATATGGAATAACTTCAGCATGAGCTGCAATAACAGCTACTGAATCTGACGGTGTAACGAAAGCATTTTTCCCATAAATCATATTACGATCGCCATCACCGTCAGAGGCAGCTCCGAAATTGACATTATCTCTTTCAACGCGTTCGACCAAACTATGAGCGTAGGTTAAGTTGGGGTCAGGATGACTACCTCCAAAATCGGGTAATGGAATGCAATTTTGTATGGAAGAACGTGAAAGACCAAGTTCTTCAATAAAAATCCGCTCAGCATAAGGTCCCGTTACTTGAATAAAAATAAAAAAAATAATAAATTATTATTACAATCAATAATAATTATAAATAAAATCTTGAAAACTAGTAATACCTCCATGTAAACCATCAAAAAGGACTTTAAAATTGGGATTGTTGTTAAAGAATTGCCTAATTTGTTCGAATTTGAAAATTTCTTTAAGTAATTGCGCATAATCATCTACAGAATCCACAATCTCGATAGTAAAATCATCAATTGTTTGAACTCCAATTTTAGATAGATCAACCTAAAAACAATTATATATTCAATGGCTAGAAAGAATAAGAAAGTAAATTTAATAATATATATAATAAATCACACCTCAGGCATATCACAAAAATGATATTTGTTACATTTCTTAGTATATTCGTAAATCAAATTTGTTACACTTTCAGGAGCGGGACCTCCATTGCTAACATTATATTTGATACCAAAATCATTATCTGGACCTTCATTGAAGAAGAAAAGGAATCAGCTGATAATCTCAGCCGAGAATGAATTTGATTTCATTATTTACCTCCAGGATTATGAGAAGCCGTTAATAAAATACCACCGTTGGCTTTACGTTTACGAATAAGATTAGAAGCAGCAGGAGTTGAAAGAATACCATTCTTTCCAATAATTAATTTACTAACCTAAAATGAGGTTATACGGAAAATAGTCCATTTCTGTGAGATTCGCGGAAGTTTGGATCAGTTAAAAGTAAATAGGTGATAACATACCCCATTTCCTGCTGCAACGCGTATAATTATTTGAATAGCTTCCGTAGAAAAATAACGACCGTCTCCACCTACAACAAGGGTAGATTCTTTGGCACCTGGAGAGGGAATGGCATCCAAAGTAGCTTGGATAAAATTTTGCGTATAATTTTCTTGTTGAAACACTTTAACTCGTTTTCTTAAGCCGCTCGTGCCAGGCTTTTGGCTATCATATGGAGTAGTGGTTATGCTTTTTACCTTCATTTTGCAAGTAATAATTTAATTATATTAACGGAGAGATCTTATCGACTGAATTTCTAATTATGCATGAATGTTACACAAATATTTTGCTATAGAGAAACATAAAAACACAACCCATATGATATCTAGGAATGGGAAATTATGGTTTGGATTAATAAATCTTAATATACATTTTATATATAAAAAAAAAATTATTAAATTATTCGCAAAATTATTAAATGGATTTTATTATATTATTATTGCTATATATACACATTAAGAATAGCCATTTTATTGCGTCAAATCTATTATGTTTAATTCAAATCTGAAAATATTATTGTCAAGATTTAACAATTCATTATCGTCACCTCCTTTATTATAATTATTTTGACAATTTGTAGTATTCTTGTTTTTATTACATAATATTGTTTTTTGGAATCCATCATACATCCAGAGATTTCTATAGATATAAACCAACTTTTATAATGTGATCATTATATAATTGATTTCAGATTTTGTTATGAATGAATCCAAAAGTTGAAAATTTTCTCTCTGCAGCTGCAGATAAAAAAATTCTGATAGCTAATTGTTGTGATTTGCTATTTTTCCATGATTTCTACCAAATAGAAGGACTAAGAGTAGATGATAACATCCAAATTATTTCATTATCATATAGTAAAGCTTTTTAGCAAAACTTTACAAGTTCAATCAATAATTCTACAGATTTTTCCTAATTAAACCAACTATTGGTAATTGTTGTAAATATAGAATATCCAGTTATCTCTAAATTTGTATTTTGATTTTTTTTCAAAGAAACATGGATCCAATATATAAGCAAACATCATAATAGGATGATATTGTTACGCCAGTTCTTTAAAACACTTGACTTAAATAAGCGTTATGATTATGTGTGCAGAAGGTTTCCTTCGTATAGAAGATAGAGAACTTAATTATAATTTATAAGGGTAAGGAAAATATAATAATTCGCGTAGAATAAATGATTAACAAA